TGCCCCTGCAGTCTATTCTCCTAGCAGCCAGAACTGTACTTTTTTTTTTTAATTTTTTTTTATTTATTCATACAGAATTGGGGTACAGGCCAGAGATGCAGAGGGTGAGAGGATTCACCAGGGACAGAGTGGGGAGCAGAACAGGCAGATCGATGAAATACACTGCTGAGAGGAGCAGCGGGCAGGCCAGGAGAGGTCTGCCACGCCATGTGGATCTCCTCCAGGGCAGGCGGGGATCGAACTCTTGCGGAAGTGGCTTAAGCTTCTTAGTGCTGTGCTTTAACCCGCTGCGCCACCAGGGAGGGCCCAGAACTGTACTTTTAAAACAACATCCTATCACACCACTGCTCTGCTTGAGATTCCCAGGGGCTCCCTATCTCATACGGGGCGGGGGGAAAGGCCAAAGCCATGTCACCAGCTCCAGGGCCCCACACAGTCCTTGCTGTCACTGCCACACCACATGCACACTCCTGCCCCAGGGCCTTTGCACCTGCTGTTTTTGCTGCCTACAATGGCATCTTGCCTAGATACTGCTGGGCTCAGTCCCCTTTCTTCAGATGTTCAAGTGTCACCTTCTCAGTGATACAGGGCTCCTTCTGGCTCTCCCAGGTGCCCTTCGTGCTTTCCCCGACAGCACTTTTTATCATGTGACATACCAAGTATTTTGCATATTTACAACCTCTTCTCCATTCCTGTGAGAACACCAGCTCCACGAGAAAAAGGATTTCTGTTTTGCTGATGCTGTATTTCCAGTACCTAGGCCAGGTCCTAGCGCTAAGTAGATGCACAAGAAATATTTGCGGGACAGATGAATGAGATTTGGTCTTATCTCTCCGTACGCCCAAATCTTCCTGTCTGTAAGATCCTGACCACTTGTTAGGTGACCAGAGCAGAGCAAATCAAATGGATCCTTAAGGTCTCCTGGCCCTGGCTCCCTTTCTCCAAAATAATAGGGCTGCGCTAGATTATGGTCTCTAGTTTGAAACCTGAAACTGCAAATGAACCCCCAAAAATTAAAAAAAAAAAATAAATAAAAGCCTAATGCGTGATAGTAACTAGTCTATAGCTGTACTTACTTGATTATAAAAACTGCATTTCCTCCAGAATTCTCCCGCCCCGCGCCTCTGAGAGTAAGCGAAGTGTGGCTGCGGTTGCACTAGGTGACTTGTAACCTGCACGCAAGGTCAGCATTAACCCCAAGTGCTGGGATCACTGGTCTCATAAAATCAGCCCAGGTTGGGTTACAGGGAAGTAAACCAAACCACATTTGGTTGTTTCTTAGGCTCAGAAACACCACCTCTCATGTCCCCCTCAATTTAACATAAATCTTTAGCAGCCCGTGCTGTTGCTTTTGGGGTTCAGCCAGAGGTTCACTGGAGAAGGAACATTAGGTGTTCCACACCAAAAGAAAGGCGCTGGCCCAAGAGCGGGCCCTCATATGAGAACTGTACTCCCAGCACAGCTGGAGGGGTGTCCCATCTTGGAGGGGTCGGGGTGCTTGAAGGTCATGCCCGAGCAGGGCGAGACGGCTTACCTCTGACTGGGGAGAGCCTCAAGTCTTTGTAGTGCCTCCCCACCCCGGTCTGAAACAGGGACGACATGAATCAAGGAAGTTAACTTTACACACTTTCTGCAGGTCTACGTTTCACCTAGCCGAGCTGACCCAGGGCCAAGGTCACATTCACCAGCAATATCCCTTCAGGCCACAGAATGCTCTCTTGATGCGAAATGTAAAATCACTTCTCCAGTAGATGTGGGGTCACTCTGCAATGACACGGCTTTGATCTTTCAAATGGTTCTCCGTTGTGAACTCCTCCAGAGACCCTGCCTTCCCCAGCTCACGCCCAGCCCCTGGCACCTGACAAGGGCCTGTAACATCTGTGACAAGCGGGTCCTTCACACGCAGCCGCCAGCCAGTGGCGGGAGGCGTCAAGTACAAGCACCAGCCGTCACACCTACGAGGCTCCTAGATGCACCACTCACTTCAACAGGGCCTGCCCAAGCCCTATGAAGCCTCTGTGCGTCAGCTTCCTCGTTGTAAAGGAGAGTGTAAGAGCATCTCCCTGCTTGGGTTGTTATGAAAGACACATAAAGTAATAATACGGTAAGACACGTAAGCCGCTCTGCTCAAGCCTGACAAGTAGATGAACCCAATGGTAGTCACTACTGTTAAAAATTGTTTTCTTGGGCCCTTCCTGGTGGTGCAAGAGGTTGGAGCACAGCACTATGAAGCTATCCACAGCCACTGAAGCATGAGTTCAATCCCAGGCCAGGGTGACCTGTGGCACAGCACAGTTGACCTCTCCTGACCTGCCCGCTGCTCCCCTCAGCAGTGTATTTCTGTCCATCTGCCTGTTCTAATCCCCACTCTGTCTCTGGTGAACACTCTCACCCCCTGCACCTCTGGCCTGTCCCCCAGTCCTTGTATGCATAAAAAATCTTAAAAAAAAAATTTCTTCAGTCACACACCACCCCGAGGACTGGGCTGGCCCTTCCCGGTACACACTCCAACACCAGGTAGTGGCACGGGATCCTTCACCGCATCCTCGCAGCCTGGGCTAGGCAGGGAGAGCAAAGGCGCACGCTTGCCATCCTCTCCTCACCCCCGAAGGTGCCGGGCGGGCATGTCCAGTCCATCTCAGCTCTTCTCCCGCTGACTGCAGCCGTGGGCTGACAAGATTCCCTTCAGAACTTCAGTGAGTCACTCCCACTGACTGAAACCAAGGCGGGGCACTGGTGAGGGAGAGATCGAGTGAGTCCAAGGGCCACAGCTGGGTGCGAGTCATGAGAAGGGAAGGAGCTGCCTCTTTGCCTAGTCCAGCAGCATTCTGCTGTCGACCCAGCTCCTGCCATGCAATGTCTGCTAGATAAAAACGTGAGCATTGAATCCATCTGAGTCTTTCCCACACAGCACTGGATCTGATGTAGCAGCTATCCCATGAATACGGGAGGACAATGGAGAGGCTGGCCGGCCCCTCACCTGAGCACAGCATCACTAGGTAGACAAGGTACTAGCTTTAGCAGGCCTGGCACAATCACATGCCTATCCTATGACCCAGCAGGCCGTTCCTGCCTTGTGTACAGAGAGAGGGTGGGACTAGGGTGGCCCGGGACCCCGCTCCCTGTCCTGACATGTTGATCCTAGAGGTTCTTTCAGGAACCATCAGTCTGGCCTGAGTGTCCCCACTGCCCCACAGACCAGAGCCTCAGCACTGTTTTCCCCAAAGATTATGGGGGCCCAGAAAAGGAACAAATCACCACATGGGTCACCGCCTACATTCACTGGCCCATGTCCAGCTGCCCACCCCTGCTCTAGTCCGTTCTCTCTGCCCCTGGACACATCCTCGCCATCTCACTCAGTGGACCCACCTCCGACACTCCCTGAGCCCAGCCAGGGTTCTGGCCACATCAGCGAACAGGGCAGTGTAGACTCTGACTAAAGTTGGCACCTCAAGGGGACAGAAGTGACGTTGCACTGACAAGCAGGACAATGAAAGGGAGAGAGCAGCTGCAAGGGACACAGGCCAGCGTCTTGCAGAAGGGTCCCCGAAGGCTTCTCTGAGGATGAAACCAAGACCTGAGGGATGGTAGGTACCGGCATAGGAAATTCAGGAAAAGAACATTCCAGCAAAGAGAACGGTGGCTGCAAAGGCTCTCAGACAGGGCTTCATTTGGGTATTTAAGCATCATCTGTGGCTTCTTTCTGTTACAGTGACAAAACCAGGGAGTCACCACAGTGTCTTGGAGAGCAAAATATTTGCTGTCTGGCCCCCTTCACAGGTAAAGGTGGCCAACGTCTGGTTTAGAGTGTTCACGAAAGCTGTGGGAGCAGCAAAGAACAGACTGAGTGAGAGGCAAACGACACAAGAGGAGATCGGGGGGTTGGCAGGAGCCACCATATTGGGTTGGTGGGACACAAGGACTCCAGCATGGTGACACCATCTTCCCACCAGCAAGCCCCCTGCCAGCAGGTGCCAGCGTGGTCTCCCTAACACACAGAGCTGGATGGTCAGTCTTCTCTGCAAATATTGGCAAATTGCTCTCCCCATGGTTTCCCAGGGTTTACTCCAAAGAATGCTTGCTCTAGGCAGTGAGCTTTAGTAGGAGTTCCATGGTTAAGTAGGTTTGAGAAACAGCCACCTATTACTCATTCGCGGATATTCTCGGATATAACATGAGCACGTTAAAGGTGCTGAAAAGTCCGGCAGCAAAGAATCTGGTGACTTTGTTGAACCCACTCTCCTTCACACTTACTTAGCCACAAAACCCCTCTTCCACAAAATTCTACTGCCACGGTCAAGAACTAGTGTTCCAGTGCTAAGACAAACCCCTGTGCTTGGCATTCATGATCTGACCCCCAGCTCCAGAGGATGATCTTAGACCCTGTTCCAGATTTTGACTGTGTGGCCTGGGGAGACATGTCTCTTTTCTGCCCCATGACTTCTTCCTGTCTCCAATGCCCCCAAAAGCCTTCTGACTACTCTAGTGTTAGATGTCACTGCGTGGGCCTGTCCTGTCCGCTTGCCCCCTCCTTGGGTAGTGACATCCCAGCTTTCCACAGGGGCCCACCCTTGCCCCATCTTCTGCCAACTCCTGTCTGGCAATGCACAATATTCCACGTCCCCCCTTTATAGTGACTGATTGGGGGTACTAGCGAAGGCCCCAAGCCAGGTCAATGAACTCCACTGGGGCTGGCTCCCCAGTTTTTGCACATAGCAGCGGAGATGGATTCAAGCTCAGGTCCTTCTTTTACTTCACCCCTAAATTTACTCTAGTTTGAGGAGCCAAAGGCTCAGAATTGAATCGTCCATCATGCCAGTCATAAGGGCCCACAGAGGGCACCACAAGACCTGGAAAGTGCTGCCCAGCGCAGTCCTCTGGGGAAGCATTGGTGTTTCTCAGCAAGAAGAGCTGGCCTGGACCATTTACCTCTTCAGGTGGAAGGTGAAGACCAACACAGGAAGGCAGGTGCAACCTGGGGCAGGGGTGAGGGGACGTACCTGCTTGCCGTGCTTTTCCTTCCTGCTGCACTGGCTCCGTCAGCCTGCAAAAGAAACCCAAAACACCTATATCAGCCAAGGCGGGAGAGAAATTCTACCCACTGCCACCCCACCAAACTCCCACTGAACACCCGCCTTTGGATGTGGGATGAACCAGACACACTCACTGACCAGCTCCACTTCTCCAGGCTGAAACTCTGCCCCCAGTGGTAAGAGGGAGTAAGAACACCCCCCTCCCCATTTGTCTGGCCCTTTAAATCCAGCTGAGCACCCACTGCCAACACAAACCCAGCAACCACAGAGCCCTGGAGACTCGGTAAAAAGTAAGTAACCAGCTAAGTCTGAGATTGAATTGCACCATTTTTATTTTCAGCTGGGATTTCCAATAAAACAGTGGCCACAGATTTATTCCTACCAACCAGAGGGGGGAAATCCTATTAGGTTAAAATATTTTGTCCCCCAACCTTATGAACAGGGGGAGGCAAGTGATGTCAGTGTCTTAATCTCTTTTATTTGGGGTGGAGGATGGGAGCGGTGAGACCGACCAAATGAAATTTTCAGATATCATAAAATTCTGGCCCAGGTGGATGGAGACTGAGGCCCTGAAGTCTCAGGGGGCCTGAATAATGCCTAGGGTTCTTACTCCAAGGCCAGAGCTGGGGGAAGGCACACCCAGGGCCCCCTCCCTGCAGATGTGGGAAGAACACCTAGGTTCCCTGCACCACCACTGGTGGAAGGTGCATTCCTTACCTTTGTTTAAACATTTATAATAATAGTAACCAAAGTTGGCTAGCGCAGGCTCAGAACTCTGGCACCTATGCGTTTCCAAAATCAAAATCTTTCCTATTTCAGAAAGGTAATGTCACACGTGTGTTCTACATTTTGAGCAGCCCAAGCAGGGCTGGGGAGCCCCAGTACCCAGAATATACTGATAATGCTATCGTGAAACAGAGGGTGTCACCCCATATGAGTTAAATGCAGACAGCAACTAGGCTCTTCTCTCTTTGGGTCAAGTTCTGCCTCCCCATCAGTTACCAAAAAATCATTTAGTCTTCAGGCTTTTCTGATTCCAGGACTGAGGACTTAAAGTAAAAACAGCAGCAGCTACCTTTTGGTAAATACCTGTGAGGCACTGCAAAATGGCAAGACCTAATGACCAATTTGGATTGGGAGTCAATATAGGAAAATAAAGAGGGATTCCGGCCCTCCCTCGTGGGACAACGGGTAAGGACACAGCACTGCAAGCAAGCCGCGGCCACCTCAGTGTGAGTTCGATCCCCAGCCCGGGTGGTGACCCACATGGCATGGCAGACCTCTCTTGTCTTGCCTGCTGCTCCCCTCAGAGTGTTGATCTGCCCACTGTCTCTGGTGAATCCTCTCACCACCTCTGTACCTCTGGCTTGTACCCCAGTTCTGTATGCATAAATAAATAAATCTTAAGAAACAAAAAGAAAAATAGGCAAAAAGGATCTCTTTTAAAAATAAATAAATAAAACAGAGCCCTCCCTGGTGGTGCAGCAGGTAAAACACAGCTCTAAGAAGCTAAAGCCACTTCAGCATGGCTTGAGTTTGATCCCTGCCTGCCCAGGAGGTGACCAAATGGCGCGGCAGACCTCTCCTGGCCCGCCTGCTGCTCCCCTCGGCAGTGTACTTCGTCGATCTGCCTGTTCTGCTCCCCACTTTGTCTCTGGTGAATCCTCTCACCCTCCGCACCTCTGGCCTGGACCCCAGTTCTGTATGCACAAATAAATCTTTAAAAAAAATTGTAAAATCCCAAATGACCTCTCACCTTTCAGATGCAACTTGGGCACTTATTTTTAGCTTTCCATACATTCTTTTCATGCATACTTTCAGTGTTCTTTTTTTGTCCTTTCATTCACAATTTCCCAGAGTCCAGTTAAGGTGCAGTGCACACATGGCTGGCAGGAGACATGAGTCTCTATTTTCGGCTCACCTGACCATCTCCACCTATTTATGACATGGGAGCTTCTTATCCCAGGCAGCCAACACACTAGGTTTTCCACCCATTTAACCACAGAGGCAGCTCTGAGGCTGCCCAGCTGAACCCCAGAGCTCAGGGGCCTCTCGCACACAAACCCATCCTTGCCCAGTGTCACATGACTTCATTTTCAATTTGAACCCAAGCTGCAGAGCACTTAGGTTCAGAGTCCATGGTCTGAGCTGTGGAGTCCTGGTTCTGCCACCTTCTAGCTCTATGGTCACAGACAGGTTCCCTACGTGCCAAGGACTTGTTTCCATCATCTTCAAAATGGCAATACGCTGATCTAAGAACCTACCTCGGGAGACTAACATGATATTTAAATAAGATAATGCATGTAAAAGCACTTAGCATAGGCTCAGCGGTAATAATAAAAATCATTAGCAACCTTGCTACAGTTACGAAGCTAACTGAGGCGCCGCTTGTATGAAATTATGTAACAGAGGAGCAAGCTGGTATGCATAGCACCAGGGGACCTCCCAACCCGCCTCTGGCCAGATTTGCACCCCACATGGCAAGTGCGCATCTCATGAGCACCCACCAGAGGCTGAGGTTTCTCTAGAGTCAGAAAGACACTAAACACAGTAACGCAGGGCACTGACCAAGCCCAGGGAGGGGGGGGAGGGACCGCTTGAGTAATAGAGACTCTACTATGTCTGTCACTGAGCCATGTGCTCCCAAAGGCTGTGGCTCCCTGGCCCTCCTCGCTCTGGCTCAAGGTATGAAGACCTTGAACTTGCGCAAGTTCTTTCCTTCCGCTGGACCTGAAATTCTTCATAGGTAAAATGGAGATGGGAGACTCCAGAGGTAAGTCACCTCATTTGCCCCCACCCCTTCACCTGTCACTGTATGTAGAACTGACCCAACCTTAACCTAATCCCTCTGTAGCAAAAAGAAATTAAGGTGCATGGGTCCACAAGAGACCCTCTTTCTCACTCTTCCATAAGTGGAGGTCGAGGTATGGACACCCCACCTCCCCGGGGGACCTGCCCCCATCTCCCACCACCATCCATTCCGTCTACACCAGTTTCTCCTCAGGATCTGGGCAAGGCTATTTTTGGTTTCATCTGGCCTTCTTCTTCCCTCCCCAATGAATGTTAAGTTGTTCTTTTCCATTCTCTTATTAAGGATTTTCTTGGAAAGAAAATATTATTCCAAACCCAGAAATTTTATTTCTAAATTTGTGCAAATGTAAGTTGTAAGGCATTAGCTGCATTTCACATTTTGTGCAAATGGCAGAAACAGGCAATTCGTGTGCTACAGGATGGGGGCTGGCCAACGATTTCGATAAAATAAACCCTTTTTTAATTTAAATGCTAATGCACTGAATTAAAATTTAATAACTGAGGAAATTGAAAAGCCGAGCAGGAATATTGGAAATAAATCCAAGCAGAAACAGCTGAAATTAAAAATTCTAGAGAGTGGGAGGATAGCAGCTAAGCTGTCTTATATGATTACATTTTTTTTTTTTTTTTTTTAGAATGAAGCAAAAAAAAAATCCTATCTCTCGCTGGCTCTAGGGCAGTAAATCCACAGTGCTGTGATTTATTGCTCAATTTTCCTGAGGGAAAAAGGCTTTCTTTCATGCTGAAATATTTCATAAATTTCAAGCCAGCATAAATTCTTAATTTAAAAGTTATGGAGGTCACATTTAGTGCACTGGTACAGTTCCAAAATCTTAAAGGAATAGCAGCGACCAAAAAAAAAAAAAAAAAAATGAAGAAGGGGGGGAATTTGCTTTTTTTTTTTTTCATTTTGGTTTTAATTCACAAGTTGAAATTTCATTATTAAGGATTTCTCCTGGATGGATAGAATCCAAGCACGTGGCAAACTGGTATGTATTTGGAAATCTGCAGCAAAAGATGAAGAGATAAAGATTTAATTCAATTATAAAAAGGCATTTTTTTTTTTTTTGAAAGCCACTTGAGGAATTTCTGGTAAAAATTTCCTCCCTTCATTGCCCGGGAAGGTTGAGGGTGGGGGAGGGTGGCCAATGTAATTGCTTCTCTTAGATCTCCAATCTTTTGTGCACACTGATATATTCATTTGTTATACAGCTGTTCAGCGGCGGAAAGAATGCTGGGGCGCCCATAATTCTAAGCAAATCAATCAAAAATTAATGATTTGTCATGCTTGCACAATGGAGGAAAACAGCTCCTTGGGTCCTGGCTGCCTGATCTCGAAAAATGAAATGCCTTTCTGCGATAAGAGAGCGGAGCCACAGACTCAGGAAACTGAGGTGCTACCACAGATGTGGGGGCTCGAGCTCCCTTGGGCTCCAAGCGGATGGAGGGGGCCACCAGCTTTCAGGGGCAATTTCAAGATGGCGCCTGGGCCGCCGGTCAAGCCCAGTCAGTACAGAGCTGCTGCAGCCCATTTCCACAGCGGTCTAATTAGGACCCTGCCTTTGCCCTCCTGCACAGGAACTTAAAAATTGCTTCCTCTCTGGAGACCTCATAGACTCCTCCATCCCCCACTAGATTTGATCTGTTCATTGCTCCCCCAACACCCCTAACACATTACCACCAGCACCTCTGACCAACTCCAGGAGTGTCACTCACTGGCCCTACAGAGCCTTCCCTCCCCCGCCACCCCCCCCCCAAATGGGGTGCTCCTGCTGGACACACACCACATGCCACACAAGGCCAAGTCACCAGCACCCAAGGCGGATGCTAGACTGGACCCATATTAAACAGTCACCAAATAGGAATTGGTTTATTATTATTGCTCAGGAAATACTAATAATGAGCTGCTTAGATGACTGATGAATTGTACTAGCAATTATATCTGAATGCCATAACAATCAACTCCAAATAATAACTCCTTTGCTCGTTCAAGAGGTAGTACTTCTGGAAAGCCTACTATGTGTCAAGCACTGTAATGGACAGCCTCAAATCCACTGGTGGACAATTCCAAGTCCCCAACACCATCACCAGGGCTCCCCTCCACTTTTTTTTTTT